AAATAGAGGAAGTGAAGAATGAAGAAGTTGAACAAAAAAGAAAAAAGAGGAATGAAGAAGATGAAAATGATTGAGATATTAAGGACATTGAAACTGCTTTGGGAACCAAGAATTATTCTGGACCGTTAGATTAAAACATTGGAATCCAGCCCTTCAAAGTTTGATGTATAGATACTTGAAAGTATATTAGAATTTTCTCTCACTTCAATATGATTTCTTTGTCAACATCAATATCAATGTTTTGGGGATTGGCAAAGCATTAAAAATTATAATTCCCTCTCAATTTCAATATATTGATTTACAATGCACAGAAACTCCCCACTTCACTCATTATGTTGGATCCAAAGTCAGTTGCAGCATGGGTGAGGCACATGGCTTAAAGGAGGAGACAAGGCTCAAAGCTGGCAGCTGCAAATCCTCCTGAGCATGGTTCAGTGTTGGACGGGCTAAGGACTCCACATATGTTCAATTGGGCTGAATTGTGGATATGGTATACTAGACACCCAATTGAACAACTTCTATGAAGAATGTCTCCTCATCCGAGTTATGCAGATTGCTGCAATGAGACCTGCAAGGTGACTTACGAAACTGGACTAACAAGAAGTGTGGCCCAACTTTGGTTTTGTCTTTAAGCTCTTGCTCTTATCCCAATCAGCCCTTAACATGCATGGATTGCATCAAATGTGATCTCTTGCTATCTTAACCTACAAAACACACAAACAGAGGTAAGTGACTCAAAATAAAGAGAAACTAAGCAAAATCACTAAGTAAAAAAGGCAAGCAAGTGTATGAAATTATGGACTTATCAAAACAGAAAATGGATTAAAAGCACAAGTTTAACTCAATAAAATAACCAAATCATAAGCTAGAAGGGTACAAAATGATATACAATTATGAACCGATCAATTGTCAATATCCTAATGTGAATCATTCCTTTTATATGTTGAAGACTTCTTCTTTCAAGTCTTATCCACTACTCTGCGCAAAGATTTGACCAATCATATCTTGGAGTATTCTCTCTCTTTTACTAAGGGTAGAGATTCCTTGTTGTACTTTCATTTGCTTCCATGACTCTATTAAGAATCCTGATGAGTATCTTTAAGCTATGCCTAATTCAGCATGACCGTATAGTGCCCTCAAAGATTAACAACATAGCCACAAAACATCTATGATACCTCAGGTCTAATGTAACATCCCAACCCAATTTTATAATAATTTTGATTAATTTTTAATTTAAATAAAAAGTTTAATAGTGAAAATACGATTTTGCCCTGAGGGTAAGGGTAAAATGGTCACTTTTTTGTTTCGGAAAGATTTTGGGGCAATGAGTGGTATTTTTACGTGGGTCGTACCGAGACGGGTTCGTAGACACGCTGTAAGCTGAATCGGAAATTTAACGAAAAAGATATGATCAAAATACCCCTAGTGGCAAAACCGTAAATAACTTAAAAAGGGGATTTTAAAAATTCTGGAACCTTCTCTTTTCTCTCTCACACTCTCTCTCTCTCCCTCTCCCTGCGAACCCGACACCCTCCCTCTGCAAAACCCCGATCGCCACCTCCGGTACCCAACAGCTCCAGCACCGACACGAAAACCCCCAGCCCCGGAAACCGCCGCCAGCCACCAAAAAACGCAGAAAATCGCGCTGGTTTTTGACAGAAATTTTACATTTCAAACACCATCCTTGCGTTCGCTAAGTAAAGTGCACGTTTAATTGCTAAAATGGCTTTTTTCACTACCTTTGCCCATAAACGTGTCTCTTTACAAAGGCAAACACAAGGGTGGCATTGGCGTTCGTTTGGTACTTTACCATTTTAAATGTGATTTTTACCTTCCAAACATCATCCTCGCATTCACTAAACACCATCCTTGCATTAGCTAAGTAAAGTGCACGTTTAAATGGTAAAATGACATTTTTCACTACCTTCACACACAAACGTGTTTCTTTACTCAACGAATGCCGGGGTGGTGTTTATATGGTAATAGAGGCGTTCAATTGGTAATTTACCATTTAAATGTGCATTTTATCTTTCAAACCTCATCCTTGCGTTTACGGAGTAAAGCAAGCGTTTAAATGGTAAAATTGCATTTTTCACTATTTTTACCCACAAACGTGTCTCTTTACTCATCGAACACAGGGGTAACTTTTATATGGTAATGGATGCGTTTATTTGGTAATTCACCATTTGAACGTGCTTTTTACCTTACGAACACCATTCTTGCGTTCGTCAAGTAAAGTGCATGTTTAAATGGTAAAATGACATTTTTCATGACCTTTACCCACAAACGTGTTTCTTTACTCAACGAACGCAGAGGTGACGTTTATATGGTAATGGAGGCGTTTATTTGGTAATTTACCATTTAAACATGCATTTTACCTTTCAAACCTCATCCTTGCGTTCGAGGAGTAGAGTAAGCATTTAAATGGTAACATGGCCTTTCTCACTACAAATTTAATAATTTTATAAAATTTACTAAAGAAAGGATTTATTACAAATTCTCAAAAAATTCATTATAATAATACGATCCAACAAAAAGGACAAACGTGTCTCTTTACTCACTGATCGCGTGGGTGACGTTTATATGGTAATCAAGCTGTTCATTGGGTAGTTACTTTTTAAATGTGCTTTTTACTTTCCAAACACCATCCTTGTGTTCACGAAGTAAATGAACCGTTTAAATAGTAACATGGTCTTTCTCACTACTTTTACCTACAAACGCATCTCTTTACTCACTGATCAAACATGTGGCGTTTATATGGTAATTAAGTTGTTCATTTTGTAATTACTATTTAAACGTGTCTTTTACCTTCCAACACTATCATGCCGTTCACAAAGTAAAGTAACGCGTTTAAATGGTAAGATAGTCATTCTTTCTATGTTTACCCACAAACATCTCCATTGTTCCTTTGGTAAATAAAAAAACGTCATTTAAGTAGTAATTGGAATGTTTTCTACTGCATTTACTAGGGTTGTACATTAGTTAAAAACAAATACAATTTTGCCAATCCGAATCCGATTCAATATAGATTTGATTATGAATTTTTCAATCTAATCTAATCACATTAGAGGTTTAAATCCAATCTGATTCAATCCAATTTGATATTGGATTGGATTGAATAATTGGTTTTCACAATGGAAAAAAGTAGTTATGAAATATGAAACATATATTGTCAAGTTTTATATAATCCAATCCTATCTCACTATTTTTGTGGTTACTTACCCATTAAAAGTGGATATTACTTTATGAACAAACTTCCCTCATTCCTTGAGTAAGGCACATAGTTCATTTCATCATGAATTGCAATGCTAAATCCTAAAGCATGGACTGAGGAGTCATATTGTATTCAACCGCAATTATATGCGTGTAATTGCATACATGGGGTCGACTATTACATAAACTATGTACTATTTCATATATGTCTATGCAATTTCACGTAAACTACAACATATCATTGTCAACTTACCTGCAATTACCCATAATTGCATGCATAAGATTCATTAATGCATAACTTTATGCAATTGCAAATATTGATTCACAAAGTCACTTCAACGAAAAAAGTTTACTGGAAACATCATACTTATATTGCAAATTTTTAAACTAATAATTGTATCAACAATAATATTATTAGCTTAAGTTGAAATATATATATGTAAATGTTGATGTGTCTTTGGGCCAACAAGTTGAAATAATTAAGAAAAATGTACGGAGAATGAGAGACTTATGAATTTTTGTTGTTGTCATTAGTTAGGAAGGGGATGGGGGAGTATTATATTGGGTTGCCTCAAGATTGTCTCTTGCGATACGTGAATCAAACCCGGTGCCCTTGGGGAGTGTTGAGAAAAAGGATTTTCACCTTATTGTTATATGCAGAACAATTAAAGGGGTGCACAAGTATTGAAAATACACTTCAAAGAAAAGTTCAGAAATTAGACAAAGAGAAAACAAGAAGTGTAAGAGAGAGAAATTAGTAGGAATTCACTGAATGATGGAAAATCATAAGATCAAATATTGTCGATTGTAGATTCACAAAGTAAAAACTTTTCCACTCTTATATTTTGTGGTATTTTCTTATTTAGTCTTTTTCACAATATTTTTATTTTTGTAATCAATGATTTGGTAATAATCAATTGATAATCGACAAATTTCAAATTTTTTATGTTTATTCAATTGGGTTATATATATATAAGCGATAATCTATTTTAAACTAATCAAAATTACGATATTAATATCGTTGCTTCAAATATTAATAAAGCATTAAAACTTTAATTAAAAAAAACTTAAATTGATTAATAACTCCAATTTAAAAAAATTAAAAAATTAAAAGAAAAAATTAAAATCAATAGAAGACTTTACCTCCCATTGCCCCACCAAAACAACAATTGCCGCCACCGCCCAGCCCATCAACCAAACCGCCACACCCCCTTTTCTTGCTCCAAATTCCATTCTCAATCCAAAAACCCTTCCCGTTCCCCTTCTAAGAGGTTAGACTTCTCAATTCTCTGTACTTAAATTGCCAATAGAAATGAATTGTTATTTTTAGTTTCTCTCTTCCTTGTTTATTTTCCTTGTCTCTGTTTGATAACTATCAGGCCCCATCCCCTCCTATTCTGGTTATTGTCATATGTGTAAAATTGAAATTTTGAATTGAATTTGTTTGGGCTGTAGAAATCTGAAAATAGAGGAAGTGAAGAATGAAGAAGTTGAACAAAAAAGAAAAAAGAGGAATGAAGAAGATGAAAATGATTGAGATATTAAGGACATTGAAACTGCTTTGGGAACCAAGAATTATTCTGGACCGTTAGATTAAAACATTGGAATCCAGCCCTTCAAAGTTTGATGTATAGATACTTGAAAGTATATTAGAATTTTCTCTCACTTCAATATGATTTCTTTGTCAACATCAATATCAATGTTTTGGGGATTGGCAAAGCATTAAAAATTATAATCCCCCTCAATTTCAATATATTGATTTAAAATGCACAGAAAAACTCAAGAAATTATGACTTAATCAACCTAAACAATCTTATGATTAGGAAGCGATTTCAATTGTATTTAGTCAGACTTTCTACTTCGGCTTTCTCAGCCGCACAATAACACTCTCAACACACAAAATTCAATTATAAAATTCATAATAAAGTGCACCCAAAATTCAATTACAGGTTATGAACAATTCCATTTCCAAAACTTGTGCATACACAAGAGAGCCAATCTGGGTCGTCCCTAAATTTCTCGACACCTTTGTACAAAAAGCAAGAAATCAAATGGAATAATGATTTGAGAGCTTATATATCGCACGCGAATTGCTCCACCCCATTTCATGCAGACACTGGGGTTCGTTCTACGGGAACCTTTGTCGGGGAACTTTCCTTAAAACCTAACATCTTATTCAATGCGCCAACGTAGGCCTTCACGCTAGACACAACAATATCCACTCCTGCCCCAATTCCACTGGCACCAGAAGACAAAATAGAGATTTCCATACTGTTAACATGCAAGTAAATGAAAATATGCAAACTTGAAAACAAACAAACTTTTAGACACCGCACCTGAACGTCCGTTGAACTGTTTCTCCGGTGAGAGCATGAGTAGTTATATGACTGTTTTCCCCTCGGATCAAAACACGAGTAGTTGCTATTGCATCGATTCCTTCTGTGACAGCATTCATAGAGTACTCAAGGAGTGTTACCGGTTCCTGCTACAGGGAGAAGCCAACTTCTTACAACATACGCAAATAATGTTGTTTCCCAATATAAAGAACAGGATGACAATTTCTCAACAAAAAACAAAAACAAAAAGCAGAACAGTTGGGCATTAAAAATATTTCAAACAAAAAGTACTACAATGGTCATCATCCATCATTCATCTTAGTTGACATAAATCCTCTGAACACAATAAACACATCAGAGCATGCATGTCAACTCTGAAAATAGCCTTCAACAGCACACTATAGATTCCCAAGGTTCCATTATTATTAGTCTTACGGTAAGACTCTTACCAACTACCTCTTAACAAATTAAAGAAAAAGAAGAAAACTGATTGCAAGCTATGACTCTTATTCCATTGACCGAAAGAAAGAAGGCTACATACTACAAAGATGACTACATGATGAAAAACATATCATACTTTAAAACGGGAAACCCAGAAACCCTAAAGATGCTAAATAAATACCCTAATAATATTAAGTGAATCTAACCTAAAAGCAGTACAAGTGTAAAATGCAAATGTAAATATAATTGAAAGTTGCAAATTTTCTTATCGCACCTTTACAATGAGATCAACAGCCTTGTAAGCTGAATCCACTGGACCCGTTCCAACTGCACATGCCACATGTTCTCTCCCATCAGCATCGAATAATTTAACAGTTGCTGTGGAAAGACCAAGAGTTCCACAGGTAACCTGAGAATCCAATCCAGGTAAATTGGAGTTATTTCTTAAAACTTTAGAGGATCAGAAATTGAACAAGGTTGAAAACTATCTTGACAAACCTGTAAATCATGAAGCTTCCAGACAACTTCTGGCTGAAAAACTTCATCCGACACTAATGCTCTGAGATCGGCATCGGTTACTCTCTGTGACACAAACAATTAAAATAAGAGTGCAAACAAGAATATCAGAATCAAAACAAAAATATAAATATGTTAAAATATAGACATGTTCCGGAGTTCATTCAGTTTTGCAGAAGTAAAAAATGGATCCTCTAAGAAAAAGTATTTTGTTTTGGTTCGACCTGTAATCATATGTGAAGTAGTAGATGGTATCAACTGGATGGTTTCTTTTTAGATTCCAATGTTTCAGAGTTTTGTTCTTCCAATTAAACTTTTACTATACGTCAACAAAAGAGAAACCCAGGAGATACAATAACTCATCTGATAGCCTCACTTTCTATTTCCACAATGAAATACAAATACCTATCCAACAAGGTTAATGTCTTAATGGTGTTCCCGTAAGATATAATTCCATTGAGGTTTCACCAATGTTTAAACCGTTGGCCGATATACCAAAATATTGGCTAATATTTTAGTTTATGGGCAGCACCCACCTTGGTTAGGGTGGCTTCGCTTTGGTTTATTATTGTATCAGTGGAAACTCAGGTAAGCCTTCTCATCCTAGAATTTGACAAGGGAATCATACCCATGGAGTATACAGAGGGAGAATATTACACCTTTCAATTTACCTTTTTCTGGTCGGCTATTGCTTTGAAACGCCAGAATATAGTCTCAAGTTGATCATCAGCAAGTTCATAACCAAGCTAACAAGACCAAAGAAGAGCATAAGGGAAATGCAGGAGAGAAGAAACCAAATTCAATTGATACACCTTGCAAAAAATGAGAATCATTGTGTACCTCTTCAAGTCGCTTTTTCAAAGCATGGCGTCCACTACAAAAGAAAATTACACACAGAAAAGAGCAACACAAAAAAAAATATCACTATTTGGAGGGAGTGAAAGTGTAATACACACTTAAAAATAATAAGTAAATTCCAAAAAAAAAAAAAAAACAAAGAACACTTGAGTACCATACTTTTTTTTTTTTTTAAAAATTGGGAAGTATCATACATTTTTAAGTCAAACAACGGAAATCCAAATGGTGCCTTTTATCTTATTGAACAAATGGCAAGGGCTTTAAGATTATTAATGAGCTCATTCCCAAACAAATTACAAGAACAGTAAGTTAAGAGGATATTAAATTTGAATCGAGTCAGGTTGATTAGCACAAAATGACAACTAACATTTAAAAGAACATGCAGACTACATCCACAAACTTGTATTTGACGATTAACAATCAAATTTAACAATCTACCAAATCGCAACTACTCAAACAGGTTTGGCATGGGCTGTCTGTGTGTCATCTTTACCTGTTATGCCAGATCCTTCCCCCAACCCCAGGTTAAAAAATCTGAATACAATTGTATTCATCTGAATGTCGCTGAAAACTGAAACAAAAGTAGTTGGAAGCTGGAGGTCCCAAGTCCTTTTTAAGAATTGAAAATAAAAACCAAAAGACTTAGCACCTCTTTTTGGTAACAATTTTCATTTTGTCTTTAATCAAAGATCTAGAAGGAAAAAACAAAGAAAAAAAAAGAATTGCATCGTAAGGGGGATGGGAATGTGTATGGAATCATGCATATGCATTGCATCGTATCCCCTTTATAGCAAATAGCAAAGAAAAAAAAAAGAATATAAAGAAAAGAAAAATTCGAAAGAAATTTAACTTTTTGAAACTTAACTTGAAAGAACTAACTAGTTGCAACTCACAAGCCAGAAGAGACGAAGCAAGAGGTTTAGGTCATCCTATTTGTGCATGGTAGACAATTTGTTTAAAAACAAAAAAGTACAACGAAACAGAAAAATTGAACATGATTTTGAAAGCCAAAAGTTAAAGAACAATCAAATCTGCAAAATAAAATAGAGCCGAAGATTGGTAAATTCTATTGTGACTATCTAAACCAAATCATTAAGCTCTACAGGAAGTGCAACAATGAAAATGTAAAAGTGAAAAATAACAGCATAACTTCTTGTGAGATCATGATAAAAACAATTAAATTGGTCTCTGCACTCATAAACATGCTTAAGGGAACTAGTCACTGAGAGGGATGCTCTAATATGAACATCATTGCCTGTTTATAATCAGCCTCACTATATCAACAATGTGATAGCCAGCTTCACAAACCATGGCTCACTTATGCTAGGGATAGCAAATACAATTCTCAAGATTCAGTTCACACCTCAACCACCAAGCATGCGGAAATTAATAAATTATTCCTCAATAAAATGCTTATTAATCATTCTATAGGAGGATGGAGCTCTTATTTTTCTGCATGTCATTTTCAGCAACACAAGAAACCACACAGGAAAAAAAAAAATTCATCCCACAACTTAGAATTACCATAATAAAAGACATTATACCTAAGTTTCCCGAGGACAATACCAGCTTCATTGGACCGTTCATACCCAATATCTTCAGGAGATATAATTTCATATGTACCTTTGTGCTTGAGCATTCCATCCTATAGATCAGAAAGACTTTTACAAATACATATTAACAAATTCAATGCATAACCAACTGAAAATATGGAAATTAGCAAAGACTTTTAAAATTGAAATGAGTGAACAAGCAATATGAGTAATTTAAATGATAAGCCAACAAATAGAATATATCCTTTCAGCTGGAACTTAAATGACAGCAACCTGATGGATACCACTTTCATGTGCAAAAGCATTAGCTCCAACAATAGCCTTGTGTGGCTGCACATGCAACCCAGTATACTCTTCGACCTAAACAATCAAAATATTGAGTAAGAAATGCCATTCAAAAGGACTTATGGTAATGAAGGAATAACAGGTTGAAGTTCCAAAAGAAGTTAAACAAAATAAAAGATACCATCTTGCTTGTTATATAGATATGCCGAGCATTGATCCCGGTATAAAGCCCCCCAAGCACATGATCCCCACGACAATCTAAGGTCATGACAACCTGCATGTTATTCAGTTAAAAATGTCATTTAAAGGAAAACAAGAAGAAATAATGTGAAGAGTAACACCTGCAGAGGAAGCTTTAAGAATTGAGTGATACAATACAGAAAAATGAAAATAAAACATATTTGGAAAGAATTTTTTAGCTTCAGTTTCATTTCCTAACGAAGAATGTCAATGACACAGAACCAATAGTTTTGATACCAGTATACATGGGAAAGGAACAAAATAATCATAGAATTTCTGAATACAGTTTGGTGACCAAATGGTTGAGAAACTCCTAAGAGGCTAGAAATATGTAGCAGCAAAACTTCAGAAGACTTATCCAAACTGTATCCATATATGATATGAATAACTCTGTAATATTTCAGAATACATAACAGAATCTTCGTAACTTAAACCAAAATATCAAAATGAACTCATGGAAACATAAGTTTCCAATATTCTCAGTCACTGATTGATGCATACTGGATCTATCACAATATGAGCCCTTTTAGCATAGAAAAGGACTAAACGATTTAAAAGCATAGTCTCCAATATTGAATCCAGAACACATCTCCTTAGAAAAATATTGTTATTAGCAAATCCTTGAAGTATCATTTCTATACTTGTAGATGCTCGTACAAAATGTTTAAAGGGCTTGCAACTCAGATAGCTATCTGGTTGCGGGACGCTTAGTTAGTTTCAGGTTGCATGGAATTCAGGCAAAGTGGCAAAAAAGAAATTTGAGACAAACCACAAAGCATCTGGTGGCAAAAACGTTAGGGAGGTAAGAGGGTCTAGGGCCTTGAAAAGATGACACAAAAAGAGTCATATGAGTTTGAGGCTGGAAATACATAAAAGAACAGATGCAGGTATCATGACAAATGACACTCTAAAGCATTGAAGACTTGAAGCATTACTGTATTTCAAAAACTAGCAAAAGTAGTTATGCTGATAACAGATCATCAGTCCACAAATAGAAACAACTCAATGGAATAGGCGAGAATTTATCTCATAGCCAGACATCTTCGAGGTGTTATTTTCTTGCAGATAACATAATATCAAACTGGATTGATTCGAAATCAGGCTCATAAAAAGGACTTATTCTGAAATTTTGCTTTTTTCACATTCGAAATTGCGCAAAATAAACTTGAAAGTATGCAATCTTATGTGGCTGCAGAAGTAAACCCTCACCTCCTCTAATGAAGCATTCCCAGCCCTTTCACCAATGCCATTGATTGTTACTTCCAGTTGCCTAGCACCTGCACTTGCCCCCTGAACATGGATGACATAAGATGTGAGTGCATGTTTTCATTAACTACACACCTACCAAAACAAAACCAAAAAAATTAGCAAAACATAGCATACCGCTATAGTATTGGCAGTAGAAAGTCCAAGATCATTTTGGCAGTGAGTCGAAATGATAACATTCTCAATTCCAGGGGTATTAGATTTTATGTCAGAAATCAACTGACTATATTCACTTGGCACGTTATAACCCACAGTATCAGGAATGTTCAGAGTTGTTGCTCCAGCCTTTATAACTTCACCCAAAATCTGGTACAAAAATTCCCTATCGGATCTGGTAGGGTTTGGGCCAAGAAAACAAAAGACATTTATTATTAAAAACAAAAGAAAATGAAATGGATTAAATAGAAATCGATAATTGAAAGGACTGAAAGAAGTTTACAAATCATGATATGGACAAATAGGCTCAAATAGCAAGTCACAATAAAAAATATACAATCAAATTAATAGAAAGATATCCATATGAAAGGGAATATATTAATGACGAGTTTACATGTGGAACAAGTACAAATTTTACAAAAGTAAAGAAAACTATATGGCCTAAGTGAATGGAG